GTATAATTAATTCGTGCTAAATAAATTACTGCGAGATAAATTAATTCAGTAAATTATCCTGCCAGAAATAAATAAACCAACGATTCAAGACAAAAATAAAAGATCGCGTTAATTTTCAATCCGCGGGGCCATTGCACGTAACAAAGTCATAATCGTAAGGCCGTAAGAAAATAGACTAATCACACTCAATTATTCTTCGAGCTCAAGGGGAATAATCGACTGTGATTGGTCTATTTTCTTATGGCTTTACGATTATGACTAAAACTTTGTTACGTGCAATGGCCTTTACCGACCGTTCTCGGGCCACTTGGTGCGCCTCGCTCGGCGCCTCGCGCGCCGCCGAACGTCGCGGGCGCCGCGGCCGCCGCCGCGACCACGCAGAATCGTGCGGGGTGCGGGATCGGCGGATCATGGTGTCGTCCGACGTGTCCGTCAGCGCATCGAGCCGCATCGTCCGCGAGAATGTAAATAAAGCGCCGCTTAGCTGACCAGCCCGCCGAGCGTGAGAGCACGTCACCGCGAGCACCCGAGCAATATGCGCGCAGCCGAATGCGCGACGACAGCCGGCCCGTCGAACAATCACCAAAGGTGCGTAGATAACACACAAGTTCCTTCCCCCCTTCCCCCATGCCCGACCTCGCGACGATGCACGTCGCCCTGGGACACCTGCGTGTCCCCGCCTGCTCTCCGTCGGCCGCTCGTCCGATCGGCGACACGTCGGCTGTCGCCTCGCCGTGATCTCGGAGCACGCACGCAAGACGCGCGCTCGCGTTCGTTCGCCTACTGTGCATAGATATATATGTATCAGTAGGGTGACAGTTGTTTTGTGTTGTTTTGCATGTGGGACGGCAGGCGCGGAGAGGAGGTGTACGATAATGTCAGTCGTTTCGGTTCCTGGAGCGAATTGTCGGCGACGATGAAACCCCGAGCGAGTAGATCTCGTCTTCGCGGAAGATAGAGGCTTTCAGCTCCCAGGGATAGAGGTGAAATGATAACGAATGGCAGGAGGTGGCGAAGGCAATTCGTTTTTTTCGAACGAGAGAGAACGTGACAGGGTAAAGGTGTATCCTATGTTGCGTAACACTTTTTTTTGTTCCTAGTACAAAACGTTCGCTTTATAGCTGTTATTATGTGTACGCAGCACTGCCATCAGTAGTGGCAGTTTACTGATTACTACCGGTTGTAATTGATAGTTACTTGTATCGTAAATATATGTTTGGAGATTCGTATCTCTCGAGTTATATTTTTAATTCCTTTTTAACTCTTTTATCTCGAGTGAGTGTTATATCTCGAGCACACTTGTAGTGAATCGTTTAACCATTATATCTCAATCAACTTCTTATCTTGGTAAGCTCTCGTGCGATATCTGCAGATTTGTTTGTTGCTCGTGAAAGAATCAGATTTCCTTATCGCCGCTGCTCTTCACAAAACTACGTTATATCAGTACCATATCTTTTATAAATATTGCTAAAATTATGAGTTTTTAATTAAAACATGTGTATTTATTTATTTTGGAGAAAACTCTTAACTGAAACACGCTTCAATTGACTTAATTTTTCTAATCTATTTCTTTGTCTTTTTAAGCATTGTGTAGCAAACATTACTCATCACAAATTGTCAGCTTATTATTCATCACGCTGATGAATGATGCTTGTTCAAATAGCAACATCATAAATTAAAAAGACTAAATTGATAGAAATATGTTTCTCCATTAAGAAAGAAAATAATTATTTGCTAAGTAATTTACAGATAAAAAAAGTGTTATAACATTTACTCATTACTTTTTAAACAACAGTTAATTAAATTAAGATATGACTTGCAATTGTCATTCTTAATATAAATAGTTTTTATTATAATCAAGCTGTGATTTGATATGATTATCTCTGTGTCAGTTTTTCTTACAAATATAAATTATATTTACATTGTGAAACTTTTGATTTTTCATAGAAAACATTAATTGTTGCTAAAAAACCAGGTATATTATATATTACCAACTTTTTGTTGCTGACAAGCGTATTATATTAATTTGTAAAATATTATTTTCTTTGTAACAAACCAAGCTTTTGTTCTGAGCACAGAGTAGTATTAAGTCTTGAGAAATGAATTCCATTCTGAGATAATCTGGCTTATTTTTACTGCCTTATCACTAAGCTGTACCGGATCTTTTCCTTTGTATTTATCTGTCTATTCTCCCGTTACGAGTGACAAACCCTATTTAATAGGCGTACATGGGGAGACAGCTGATAAGTTGCTGCTAGAAAAATCTTAACGGTATACTCGTTTTGCATTATCTACGCATACCGTAATTATCTCTAGAGATAATTCCTATATTTCTAAAGATAAGTGTTTTTGGAGATAATTGTGTATAGCGTATGGCGCTGCTGCACAAATTCTAGAGTATGTCTAATTTTAGAGTTGTCAATTCATCGGTTGGTAATAGATTGTTATTTTTGCAGATGAACGTCCCATTGTATGGCGTTCTCGGAGCTGCCGCTACTCTGCTTGCTTACATCCTCGGCATAGGAACAGTTGTAAAACTTTTCATCTGCTTGCTTGCGTTAATTTTAGGGTAAGATAAGAAAGCTCAACTAAAAGCAGAATTTGCATATGAAATGTACATACACGAAGATATTAACAAACATTAAGTTGTGAAGATAATTGTGATAAATACGCATCGAAGAATAATAAAAGATAAATATTAATGGAATAATAAAATATTCTGTTGCAGGACATTGATCTGTATATATAGAACGTACTCACCGAATCTCGACGATGTGATTAAGTCTGAAAGGGAAGATTTATCTAAGAAGACTGAAAAGTTCCGGCAGGTAAGTGGAAATTTCGAAATTGTTCGCCACTTATTCGCGACTTGTCGCATAATATTCATGTTATTTTTTTACAGCATATACTAGATCAGTCTAAAGAGAGAATGACATTTACATTAGATAGGAGAATAACTGGTAGCCGTATCATTGATGAATCCCTGCAAGTACATATTTATAGAACAATATTTATAGAATAGTGTCGAATCATCTGCTGCTTATTGGGCGTAATGTATTTGTTGCTATTTTTATAGGAAATTTTGGATTTCTTGATCAGAGATTATGTGGAACCGTGGTACAGCGTCGTTACGGATGATGAGGAGTTTATCTATTCCGTTCGAGATACTGCCCAAAAAATCGCAATCAACGTAGCAAATCGGTATATGGAAACATCTTTCATTAATATTTATCTTTCATTAATTTTATGAGAATCAGAATATTTCATGAGCTGGCTTTTTTCAGTTTTATTAAATTTATTTAAGACTTTTTCATATCTCTGCATATTTGCTATGCTTATTAACGCTTTGAAAACCTAATTAACTCTTTCGCTACGGCACACTTAAAGTTAAAAGCGTTCATTGTGTACGGTACGATGCAATTACCTCAATACAAAAGGCATTAGTAATGCGATGTTTCTTTATCTTTTTATTCTCCATAAACTTGATTGAGTTAAAAATAGTTTATTACAGCAATTAAAAATAGTCTTTAACGTAATATGATTTTACATTCTTCGAAAATAGACTTTTATTTTTGAAAATCGAAGATGTACGCCTTTCGTAAATGATTGACCTATCTTAATTCATTATTGATTAAAGTTCTATTGTGTAATATCGATGTACAAAACAGGGTCAAGAGTGTCGATTGGATACCGTACTTGACTACGCGACTCGTTGACGATGCAGCCTCACACGTCAGGTTGTATCGACAAGCAAGCGCGAGGATGAAACAATTACGATCGAACAGGGTCCAGAAAAGTAGTGCCAGCTCAAGCACATCGGGCGGGACTCCGAAAAAGACGCCCACTCATCGACGAAATAAGAGCGAGACCGATGTATCTTGGTATTCGCAGTCGAAATTTTATACACCTAATCTGTCATCACTCACCGAGCCAATTGAATCGTCTGGTGACGACGAAAAGGAGGACGAATCGCTGGAAAAGATATTCTTCGATCTCGAGGTGCAGATGGAAAGTAATCTGATATGCAGAGACCTGGTATGCATGAACGACACCCAGGAATTGGAGTTCCTGGGCGAGATATCCGAAATCCTGTTGTACCTGGTATTACCCAAGGCAGACTTCGATTGTTTGACTGTAAGATTTGTCTTAAGGGAATTGTTAGTGAACGTTATAATCAGACCGTTGTTGGATCTTTTCTCCGATCCTGATTATATTAATCAGGCGTGTATATGGCTGGTGAGTACAACATTGATGCTTTGAAACTTTCGATGACGAATTTTGTAGATGTAAATTTAAGACTTAATCCTTGAATAAGTTTAATAAAAGCTTATTTTCAAATTTAAAAAATTTAGTCATTTTTACTTATTTATTTACCTATTTATTTCAACGTTTTATGACGTACTGAGAATAGTGCTAATATTTATATCTGAATAGTATGTAATTTTTTTATTCTTTTATTTCAGTGTACTAAGGATGGTGGTTTGCCAAGTGATATCTTTTTAACAGTAATTAGAATAACGGACAATTTAGATGAATTAATAGCGACAAAAAATATAATTTGTAAAGAAATAGCGCATCTGCGCTCAAAAGACTCGGGCGGAGATGACGATCTGTCGGTGAAGCAACAACTGAACAGCTTGGTTTACGTGAAGAAAATTCTGGAGACAAGGATCATCGGTATGCAGGAGGGCTTAGAAACGGAAACGGACGGTATCGGCGCTCAACCAGAATGGAACAGATTGCTCATACCAGGCCAGAAGCTAGTTAATTTACCATTAGATGAGTTGCTGAAGAACAACATCGCACTCAGCTACTTCATCGATTATATGACCTCCATAAATGCAGAAGCGTACCTGTTCTTTTACCTGAATATCTATGGATGGAGGGTCTCGGCCGAGCAACAGATATCAGATATTGAGTTGCAAAAGATCCAAAATACCCAATCTGGCACAGGTGTGATCGGTACTAAACGCAAGAACGCGGATCTGGATAATCTGAAGGAAGCAGCCTCGAAGATCTATCAGCAATACCTCAGTGACAAAACATCATCTAAGCTGCAACTGGACGATACGCTGGTAAAAAGCTTGCTCACGAGAACGAGGACAGAGCCGGTCAAAGAAACATGGTTCGACGACCTGCGAAATTGTTGCTACGAGAAACTGCAAAATGAGGACAGGTTCTTGCCAGGCTTTAAAAGATCATTGGCTTATGTAAAACTGCTCGCGGAGTTGGATCTGCTGAAGGATCCGGTGTCTGAAGACGACACAAAATCATTGGACAGCATAAGCTTATCGAGCACGAACAACGAATTAGACACTTTGGAGGAATTATCCGAAACATACAAAACCGATGAGACAAAGCTCGTAGTAAAGGAAGGCGCTAAGAAATCGAATTCCTCGACGAGTTTAACGAGCATCGGAGAGACGAACGAAAGTAGAGGATTTGATGAGGTTGATTCGGACAATTTCAAAGGCGTGAAAAATACGCGTATAGGGTCTACCGCGGAAATCGAGCAAGTCGGTGAGAAGAAGGATATTTCGTTTTACGTGGAAACCAATGCGGACCAGTTCGTCAAGTTGGACGAGAACAATTACGATCAAAATGCAATTAAAAAGCTGCAACAAGGCCGCTTTGAGATAACTGCCACAATCATAGAAACCGGCATCGTTAGCGATCGCGGAAAAACATACGGCATATATGCGGTAGCAGTCACGAAGAATTACGATTCGGGCTACAAGGAGAAATGGCATATCTACAGACGATACTCTGACTTCTATGATTTGCACCAGAAGATCAAGGAAAAGTATTACGATCTGGCGAAAATACCATTCCCCGCGAAGAAGGCCTTCCATAACATGGAGCGCACGGTGTTGGAGAGACGAATGTTGATGTTGAATGGATGGTTGTGCCAATTGACGAAACCCGCGATAATGGGCGGTCACATGGGATTGCAGAATCTATTGTTGGCCTTCTTGGAGCAAGGGGATTATGATAAAGGAGTCACTGGTGGACAGATCTCGAGAACGGTAAATATGAATAGTCTGCTTATTTATGATATATATATATATAAATAAATCAAATTTTTTAAAAGTGAAAAGTTAATTATGAAATTATAAGAAATTACAAAATAATATATTCTTTATAACAATTTTGAGTACATAACATAGAAAAAACTAATTGTTTAAATTTTTTTTATACAGATAGACACTTTAATGAATCCCTTAAAAACATCCATGAAAAGTGTCACGCAGGCGGTTAAAACGATGCCGGACAACATGCTAAGTACAGTGGACGGCGTAATGGATAATCTGAGCAAATTTTTCGGCAATCCTAAGAAGACGAGTATATTTTACGAGAATACCAAAGTTAGCGCCGGTCTCGATACAGAGGTACTTTTCTATTTTACGCATTCGCGATACTGCATATCTCTAAGATATCGAATCGGTCAATTGAATCATTCAATTCGTATTTTCTTTTACAGACTGATGATAATATCCCATTGCGTATTATGCTCCTGTTAATGGACGAGATTTTTGATCTGAAAGTGCGAAATCAATGGCTGAGACGGCGGATTATAACGCTACTGCGCCAAATCATTCGTACGATGTTTGGGGACATAGTGAATAGAAGGATAGTGGAGTATGTATCGTTCATGACCAGCCCGTCAAAAGTTGCAGGATATTTGCGCTTATTCAAGTAAGTAAATGGTGTTGATCTCGAGCGTAACAGTTTTATATAAAATTGACATTCATCACTAATATTTCTATACAAATTGATTTCTATGTATATTTCGTTATTTTAATTATTTTTTATGATTACTATAATTATTTTGCTTCCATTCAACATCTAAAGGTAATCTGGAAACAAAAGGAAGGCTAAGTGAATTAATGACGTGTTACAGGAACAGTTTCTGGCCGAATGGCGTGAAGGCCGAGAGTAAACCATCGCGAGACACGGAAATGAAGAACAGAACGCGAGTGGCAGCTAAAATAGCTTTGCTTTCGTGCCTCTCGGATGAATTGAAACATATCATAGGCAGCGAGACGACGAGGCGCGGCTTGCTGAGGGTATTCGAGTTGTTTCAGCGGCCCGTACTGAACAGAAGATTGTTGTACGTGCTGCTGGAAGGTGTCGTCGAGACTCTATTCCCACAGAACAATCTAGTGACAGTTTTCAGGAAGCTTTATTCGGTATCACCGAGGGTGAGGAGTAAGAGTAAAGCAAAGTCCTGATGGAAGAATAGGACGGATTGATATCCGAATGCAATGGTGTGAGAGCGACTATGCAGTCGAAAGAAAATCCTATTAGGGATTAAGAGTTTCGACTTCATTATCAATCTTCAATAAAATGCATCTCTTTTTAGGTAGCTTAGAGATTTACGATATTAAAAAATACTCGTGCAAAGTGTCCACAATATAAAGAAACATATTTAAGATAGAAAGATCTGACATATTTAAGATATTAAGATCTGTGCCTTTAACCTATTGAGCTCTTATTTTATTTTACTCTTTATTTTCTTTGCGGTAAAACATATTTAAAAATTGATAAAATACTATTTCTCTCTTTGTAGTTAAATCTTCGATTATTTTTGTAGAAAGAGTCCCCCCTCTCTCTCTATTTTTTTCTTTTATTTAAAAACAACAATTATAGTGTATCTATAATTGTAACATGTACTTAACATAAGTGTGAATTTAGTAGACTGTAACTAGTCTAGACTTTTTACGGCTTTCCATTGTACTGTTTCTGGAGCAAAATGCAAAGTGCTGACTGTAGAGCTCAATAGGTTAAGGTAGTTAAGGAATCATCAATCGTTACGCTTATTAAGATATTATTGGATGTTTAGTCTCTTCAAAAAGTCCTCTATGCCATTGCATCGGACACCCGTCGCGCCTATAGCTTTCGACAGGGAACAAAACGAAAGTCATACGCTTTCATATTTTAACGATTTATATGTTCAACGATGCGCACGTCGGAAAAGTTACATCCTGTTGATTTTTCTCGTTAGTTAATGCCAAAAAAAACTTCGGAATATTTCCGATGGAACAAAAATATCTCCAAAATTTTGGAAATTTGTTATAGGAAATTTACAAACGTAACGTAAGAAATAAACAAATTATCTCGAGAATAAAAGATAAGGTAATATCCTCTAGATCTAAAAAAAATAAAAATTACATTGGTATACTAAAAAACTAAGATATTAAAAGCAAGCTTAAACTTAGCTTGCTTACTTAGTCTCGTTCTCTCTCGTTAGGACACTTATAAGTAGATCGTAATGTGTGCAATAATAATAAGACTTTTCCCTGCTAAATGCGATAAAAAAATTTCCTATTTCCTCGAAATAAAGTATGCTCGACGAAAAACTGACTGCGCGTTTAGAGAGGCAGGTAATCTCGAACTTTTCCGAACGTGTGCAGCTACTCTAAGTGATCTAGTGGCCAAAAAGTACGATATACGGATTTCAATTGCGTAACCGAGTCTTACAGCTCGGGCTGCTACTCTCGTCGTATTAATGTAGGGTAATATAACTGAAACTCACGAATTCCTTGTGATTACCTCATAGAGGAATGCAATAAGATCGATAGAAACATTCCACTTGCATTTTAAGCTACAACGGCTAGTTAGTTAATTATCCTTTTTACAATTATCCTCAAAACTGCAACGTACTACGTAGACGTAAAAGGAACACTGTACATCATGATTTACTTAAACTTAAGTTCTAGACGATATGAAGTAACGCGAAGGATACGATCAGTTTAGACGTATAATTTACCGCCGATATTATATACTTAATTATTTATATTGGACTACACTGAAGTTGATTTGTGCCATTCGATTGAGCAGTACCTATTTATTTATTAGCGAAAAATTAACGGCAGTCTCGATGGCGCCCTTCAGACACTTCTGGGAATTTATGAGGATTACTCCTTTCGTTAAAGATGCGAAACGCAGTTGTATAAAATTGTTGTACATTACTCTATCGTACGTCTGTATAAAAAGTTATTTCTATCTCATGTTAAAACGCCATACACTTACCACGTTTACTTATTAAAGGAACTATTTATAACTTGGGTAGTTCCTAGTTTCATCCCTAAACGCATCCCCATATGCCAAAAGTATGCGACGTTTATTTTTGTAGATAAATACACCCCTCTTGATACCTGAATATAAAGTTTTACATATCATCTGTAATTGCCGATGATAGTTTTAACATAAATTTCTTTTATCAGAGACTTGTATTTTTATATTAATTATGTGTAAAATAGCGTTGCAGGGGGGGTTAAAGCGATGAAGCGTCGGAGGTACAAGGGGGAGGTGGAATAAGCGGAAGAAAGGGAGAAGGGGAGGAGGGGGGCGAAAAAAAGAAAGAGAAAGAGAATGAGGGACGGGCAAGGGGAAAGTAGCGGGCATACGTGAGCGACTATACCGCACGGCCCTCGCTTACTCCAACGAAAGAAAATCGATATGCATGATTCACGCACGCGAGAGCGTGCCGAAGAGGGTTGGAGAGGTGGCGAACGGGGCGCTCTTGCTAGGGGAGCAAAAGGATGGAAAGAGAGAGGGGCCGAAAGAAAGTCGTGCGACGGAGGGAGAGAACGACGATGGCGGGTACGGTAGTAGGTAGGAGAGGGTGAGGGGGGGGAACGGGCCACGCTCTCCGTCGCGGCGCACTTCTCTTCCCTCGAATCGCCTCGTGTTCTCGAAATGAAATGGGGAACGGAGCCTCCGGCTCCGGGTGTCCAGGCGTACGACAGTAGTACGCACACCGCGCCCGGACACGCGTAATTCTATACGCAAGCGCCCGCGCGCGTGTTCCCGCGCGTGACGGGAAGGGGGTATGCCCCGTGATGCTACATTGCTACCCCCTCGGTCATTCGATCAGTCGTGTCCGAGGTGGTCCGAGGTACCCGCGTTGTCACGTTAACGTTGCCGTCGCGTCGCGTTGCCGCGTGTCCGCTCGGCCGGCGACGGCGACGCGCCACTTCCGGTTAACCGAGTTTTCACCCCCTCTCAAACGGGAGGGAGAAACCGTTGTATATCCGCGGTGAGTTCGCCATCACGCGTGCGAGACATGGGAAAACGTGCGTCCTACGCAGCGCGAATCGCGGGGATTATCCTCGACGGATGCGTCGCGAATGTACTAAATTTTGATTCGTAAAAACTGTTTCTTCGCGTTCGCGTTTTCAAGAATTCCAAAGTGTGTTCCCTTCGACTATATAGAAACTTCAGCATGTGATGAAGAATTTTTTAATCGAGCGTGAAGTCTCAAAAGAACCGGAAGTATATGTGAAATCTGAAAAGGTCTTGAAAAATTAAGAATACCATTACCTCCTTGCATCGTTTTTTTTTCTTTATTATAGATTCATTGACTCTCTTGCGCGCAACTTTTAATTTTGGGCATTAACTGTTTGATGATCAAGCTTGAATTAAGCTTCTGTTGAAGTAAAATTTACGCTTATTTCCTTACCTAGCTATAATTATCTAACAATAAGTCAATATTATCAATTAATGTTCATCATCAGTGTTTTTAAGCATAATCCGGGAAAAGCTCCTTAATTTTTATCAATTCAATCTCGTTGTCAACCGTCATCTGTGCAACACCCTGTTCTTTGGCGTATTTGATATGAGACGGCAATTTATTTGGATTCGCGAAAATGATTCGCTCACCTTGCACCTTGTGTTTCCTTACTTGCGCTATTTCTTCCTGTTAGAAACATCATTTATCATTAATTATCTTGCCAGTTATAGAATGCTCATTAATTTACGCGAGATTTATGAGGGTATACAGAGTGTCCTTAAGATATTTTAATTTCAGATTTTTTTTCTTTTTATTGCGAGTAGATAAATTACGTTGATGAAGCCTAGTCAAGCGTTTTAGGAACACCTTGCTTGTACAAACAGTGAAGATTTAGGTACTCAGAGATATAGAATGGAGATTTACCTTTGATTCACAATCAAAACAGGCATTTAAAGTCGCCAGAACTTTGATTACTGTCGCATTTGAATTGCATTTAATCGCTGAAATTTGAAAAAAAGAGTGACACAAACTTTTATTGAAATAGTTACATTTCGTAAATATACATAATGCAGCAATAGAAACGTTAGGCATTTTGCTAATCCATTATTCTTGATGTTTCTTAATAACACCACCAATATCCGCGATATAAAAAGTATCTTCCAACTTTTCGCTTTTAACTAAGTCTTTAATAATATCCATGTCTTCTACTTCATCATCGATGACTCGTATTTTCTTGTAATTGAGGTGCAACATGATGAAATTAAGTATAAGAACAAAATTCAAGATCTTCCTACGAAGAGCATACATACTCGAACATTTATTGTTATTCCGTAGTTAAGACATAATTTCAAGTAATACCTTTGTAATCGTTTTTACGTAAATTTAGCTTGATAAACGGATACCAATAATGTAACAATTTTATTATAATATCCTCCGATGCGTTCTTAAGGAGCTACACATCCTTGCTCGCACCAAGTGTGAAGTAGACAACCGATCGCACGACTTCATTGCAAGTGACGTCTGATAATACGTCTATACGTTATAGAATATAGACGAAAAAATATAGGCCGCATTCAGCAGACACAACTGTTGAGTTCGTCTTATCAATACTCTGCGTTGATTGGTTGGTTCTAAAAGTAAGAGCCACGCACGTTCGACTGCTACTGAGCGGCTTAGTCTGCTGAACGCGCTTATAGTTTATACGTTCTATAATTTTGTTTTTGCTTTTTTGTTGTTTTTATAATTTTTATGTGCGATAAAGGATGCGTAATTCCGCAACGGCGCGTCGGAAGACACGAGTTTCTCTGAACAAAAATTAATTCTTCTGAGACTTACCACACTCTAAAACCGGAAATAAGTGCGCTTGATGAAACTGACGACTGATTGACTGGCACCAGAGATCATGAGATTCCGATATTTTATTATCAAGCTTTTTCAGAAGATTTCAAAAGAATTCGTGAGACTACTATACAGTGTCGAAGCTCGACGCGTTATGTCGGTCACAATAATCAACTGTCTTGCTGACACGCAGAAATCTCGTAAGCAAGTGTTATTGATCTTTATGTCTCTTTGGTCTTATATGTTTATAAAACATGTTATGCTTTTAAGAAGAGCGTCAAGAGAAGAAATCGGTTTTTTTATTTAATATAAGTCGCTTGTATTAATCGCGCTAATGAGCGTAATCAATTCATATTATGCTAAAAAATATTCAAATTTTGAACAAAAAAGTTAATCCTATCAAAAACTCTCTCTCTCTTTTTCTCTCTCTCTCTCTCTCTCTCTCTCTCTCTCTCTCTCTCTTCGGTTCTCTTACAAAGAAACTTAAAAATTTATATCTAAATAAAAATTTTACATATTAATTAGCTGTAAACATGCAAAAAGAGCGTTAAAAAAAATATGATTCTCAAGACTAATGTGTCATTTATACTTACGCAGCTAATTTCTTATTTAATAACTATAACATATAATCTATTATAATCAAATTTTTCAAAATGTCTCATTAGTTTTGCTTTTCTTTTATATGCAGAATTGAAATTATTTGATTTAAAATAAATAATAATAAAAATAACAAAAAAGAATTGTTGGCTAAAGAAGGGTAAATTGAGCAATTGGTTAAATGTCTAATTATTATTACTTTCTATTACAAAGCTGTGTCAAAATACATGAAAATTTTTAGTTATTAATAGAATTGTTTATTTGATTCTGTTCCTTTAAATTTTAGTTAGCGAAGATTCGTAGTTCATACTCAACCATTGTATTTACTCTCAATCAGTTTATAACTTAAAGGGACAGATTTTGAGGGACATATAATTAAATCTATAATACACTTAGCTCCATTTTGGAACAGCTTTATATTTTGTTAGGTTAGGTTAGGTTAAGGATTTATTCATTAAATTACTCTCGTCAAATTATATTGTCAAGCTACTGATATCGTATAAAAAAATAATAGTGATGTTATAAACTCTGTATATCTTATTTTATTTTTAATACCATTGACTCTTCCTAATAATTGGAATCACAATTGGGATTGGGTACCCGTTGAACGCACAGGATACAGATAGTGTATAAGCACCCATTTCTTTCCAAATTAACCAATCACCTATTTGAAGCTCAGGCAACATCACATTCTTGATAATTAAATCATATGAGTCGGCGGTCGGTCCCTATATGTTTGATAGGAATTTTTCTTCGCTTATTGGCTACGACGATAGATTAATAATTGCTTCTTATTAATTATGAATCCCTTTTTATGAATTATGAATTATGAAATATATATAGGATTACTTCGAAAAGTAATTGTGGTACTCTAGCTCGCAAGCCTAACAGTTCTTCTATGAAAGAATGGTAATACTCCACAGTTCATGTAATACATTCTCATCATTACTCTGTCCTTCGAAGTGATTTTCTTGGAATGTAAATACGAGGCTAAAGTGAAGCTGGAAGTTACATATAGTACCTTCCCGGTTCGCTGATAATCCTTATGCTAGGATCGAAATCCTGTATTGCGTCATTGATAATACTGACGAACTGCAGAAATTACCATAAATATATATTAACGAAAAAGGAATATGGGGATAAATATGTCGCAAAACTTTATTTAGCGTTACAAGCCAATTTATAATCAATTTTTTATTACTAGAAACTGGGAAAACCTCATTTTGTTTGATTTTTTTATGTCTGTATAATAGTGCTTTCATGTCTAACGTTTTAATCTAACTTCTAATAAAAGTAAGATGATGGTTATCGGATAGTAACTATAGGTATGTGTATGTTTACATACCTTGTCAACGTCCATTCCACTTTCACCCGGGAATCCACCACCAATGTCAATCAACTGCACCTTGTCGCATCCGATTGCCTTGGAGACGGTAATTAATTGTTTGCACAATGCGATCCCTCTGGCGTAAGCCTCGAGCTCCTCGCACGGGCTACCGACATGGAAGCTAAAGCCGTGTAAATTCAAACCGAGATCTTTCGTGAACTGTATCAAGCGCACAGTTTCCTCGTCCGGTTCGGAACCGAACTTGTGTCCCAATGGTACAAACACTGGCGTGTTTTTCGAGTCGCAACGTATACGTATGACTACCCTGTTGCACGGAGACATTCGGTAAATTTGTAAATTGATGAAATCAGGTTGCCAATATATATCCTATTGTATTGCTCTACTCACTTAGCTTCAGGGAAGATATACTTGTTCTTGTACAGCTCGTTTTCACTATCAACCGTCATTTGCTTGACGTTCATTCTCTTAGCATATTCTATATGAGACGGATACTTAGTAGGGTGCGCGAAAATAATTCGGTCGCCGTGTACTCCGTGTTGCATTACTTGCTCTATTTCTTTCTGTTGAGGAGAGAGAGCACAATTATTTTTAAATATTTTTGTTAAGTGATTAAAGAAAGATTTAAAAATTTACTTTAGATCCGCAATCGAAACATGCATTTAAAGCTGCCAGAACTTTAATCACCGTTGGATCCGGGTTAACTTTAATTGCTAGAGTTGAAAATAAAATTGATAGTATTAAAAATCCATGTTGTAATAAAGAGAGAGAGTGCATTATTGAGAATATAAAAATAAAGAATCCCAATACCAAAGTGTGGGATTAACTCTGGGTAACTTGGCGATCCATTCCTGATGTCTCTGTATGACATTACCAATGTCCGCGATATAAAAAGCGTTTTTTTGGCATTCCATGCTAGTTATTGTTTTTATGATGTTCATATCATCCTTTATATCTTCAAAGATTTTTATTTCGTCGAACGTAAATCGTGCCATTGCATGTTAAAACGTGTATTAGAATGAAATCTTCAATATAAACTTCCTGGAAATATTAAAGAATTTATTGCTTATTTTGACAGAGCACAAATTATACTTTAATAATTGATAAAGCGATACGCGCTGCAAGTATTTATACGTTTTTAAATTTTAAAATTTGAATATAAATTTTGATTTTGAAGACAAATTCTTATAGAATGTTTTTTAAATACTGTCCAATATTTTAGTTAATTTTATGAAGAAAAGTGTGTGTATGTGTATGCATGTGTGTGTACACAGTAAAAAATCGTGCGTCCAAATGTTAAAATTTTCTTGTGTTACCAAGATTTGACTATTATTTCAATGTACAACAGCTATGTTATTATTTTCGTAACATTTTCATGTGTTATATTAATGTCAACGTGATAACTTAACGCTTTATGTATGTCATTTAGAAATTGAATATTATTTTGAGTTCTTTTAACATAATTATTTTAAAAAATCAACACGCCTTAAAGTTATTTTAACATAAACAAAAGTTAAAGTAAATCTTTAAATAATCGTAAACTTTGACATACAAAATAATCAAATTTACTACAATCAAATGTTCAAAACAACATTTCACTTAAGTTGAAATAACTATCATTTATTCAAATATGTTATATCGACATTTTTTACAAGTTATTTTTACATTCTACTTAAAGTTAAAAGAACAAATATAAATGTAAAATATAGTGTCAATAAATTAACATTTCTAATTTGTCAACAAGTAACATACGATGAATGAGTTATTTTAACTCAAAATTTAGAGTGGACTTTCTGGGACATTTGAAAAATGTTACGATTAACATTTTATTTTTTACTGTGTATGTGAACATCTCAAAGCCCTCGTTTCAAGGTTGCAAGGTGTTAAAAATTCTATGAAATTAATTTTTTTCCGTGAGAAATAATTCTCGAAAAAGTGTTTTTTTTTTATTTCGAAGTGCTTTAAATATATCACCATAGTTTAATACATCATTTTTTAAAAGTTCGAATATTTAGCTCTATCTAAAATAAATAGAAAAATTGTAACAATAAAATTATAATAGGCGTATAAATATAAAAAGTTGACTTACTGTATTTTATAAATTGCAGCGCTTCTAGTTGGACAGAATTATCAAAAATGTTGTATACCATATATACATGCGGAACAAAATTTAAAACGCGAAATAATCCACACGTTGCAAGCAAGATCTTCTTATATATATTACATATATATATTGTTTTTTCACTTATGGCCTAACTAATACCCAGATATCTTAAGATATCTTAGTTGTTTTACAGCGTTTTTTATTGGCTGAGCTGGTGCGCATTCAGTGCACATTAAAGCCGTCGTACACAAACCAACGTAAAGTGTATGTTTAATATAAACGGGTTAAATCATGAAATCCTCAATATTCTTTATTGCACTATTTGGTAAAATATGTACTGGGTATTTTATCAGTCGAAATATTTGCATTTTACTTTAAATATTAGAGATTAAATCAGTGTATAACGGCTTTAATGTGCACTGAGTGCGCACCAGTTCTGCCAATAAAAAACGCTATTAAAGATATCTTTACGACGTTTTATGCAACATGCATGTTATCTGGGTACTGTATGAAAAATGTACGACTAATAGAATTTTACGAAACAACTACGTTAAGACAGACAAATAAGTAAATTTCACAGCCTGTTTTAACGTTTCTTATATGTCTGTTTTACGCTTCTCACTTTTGGAAGGTTCTATTCTATCTGCAATTGCAATAATTACTATTTCTGTAATAACTGCAATAATTAGCAGAGAATAACAGCGCTACTTTACGGACAAACTAATTATACGAGCTAAATAATTTAAAACGATTTTTTCGAG